CTGTCTGTCTGTCTGTCTGTCCCTGGCAGCTGGACCTGGCGGAGCTGCAGAAGGAGCTGCAGAAGAGCCGCAGCGTGTTCCCTGAGAACCCCTCGGTGTGGGTGAAGGACCTGGCTGGGTACCTCAACTACAAACTGCAAGCACCCAGGAGTGACCCCGTGCTGAGCCAGCACCCTCACGGTGTGTGTGCTGCTGCCCTGGGGGAGCTGGGGACGGGGAGCAAAAGTGGGGAGCAAAACTGGCTCTGGGGACAGACAGCCTTCTCTTGTCATGGACACACTGACACTGCCCCTGGGGGTGCTGGGGAACAAAACTGGGGAACACAGCTGGCTCTGGGGACAGACAGGCCTTCTCTTGTCACAGACACACTGACACTGCCCCTGGGGGTGCTGGGGAACAAAACTGGGGAACACAACTGGCTCTGGGGACAGACAGGCCTTCTCTTGTCACAGACACACTGACACTGCCCCTGCACCTGCAAACTGGGGGCTCCCCCAGCTGTGAGACCCGTGGCTGTGGACACAGTGCTTTCAGTTTTCTGGTTGTGAGGAAGGTAGATCTGAGTGTTGCAGAGAACAAATAACGTCAGAATGGGTGCAGAGTTCTCTGCAGCACAGAGAAGCATTTATATCCTAGTTTTAGGTACCCTAAGTAGTGGAAATGTTAAAGTTTCTAAAGCAGTTTTGAAATGGTTTGTTTGCTGGATATCTTTTCATTTCCCTCAGTTTGCCCAGCAGAATGTTAACTCTGTCTCTCTGCCTGGGACAAAACTGGAGTGTTGTGAACAGCAAAAGCAGAACAGGGAGACGGGATAGTGTCTCAGTTTTTCCCTGTGACTCAGAAAGAAGGGCTCAGGAGGGATTTGCAGGGACAGCCAGGGCAAATCTCCCCAGCCCTTAGTGCAGTACAACACCCAGTCCCCCCTGCTCTGCCTGTGCTGGGGGTTTGGGGGCTCCCTCCCAGCTGTGCACCCTCAGTGCTGGGGGATGTTGGGGCAGGGTTTCTCTGTCCTGCCTGCTCAGCTGAGCTCCACTCACACTGAGAGCGTCATTTGGGGTGGCAAGGGAGCAAAGTGTCCTCTGCAGGGCCCTGGCCATGCCACAGCAGCAGCACTCCATGGGAAGCATCCCTAGGCTGGATTAGCTGCCTCTTGCTGTGTTTGCTGGGAATGCCCCAATGAAGGCAGGAATGATGAATCTGGCTCCATGTTCTCAGAAGGCTGATTTATTACTTTATGATACTTTACTATATTAAAGAATGCTATACTGTATTAAAGAATACAGAGAGGATTCTTACTGAATGCTAAAAAGATAATAATGAAAAGTTGTGATTCTCTCCAGAGTCTCAATGCAGCTTGGCCCTGATTGGGCAGTGAGTCAAAACAATTCACAGCAGAATCACCTGGGGGTGGTTCAGAATCAGAATCTGGGGGTGCAGGGGGACAGGGAAAACCCCAAACCCAGCACTGGGGGTGCAGGGGAACCCCAAACCCAGAATCCAGTGGAACAATCACCTGTGGGTAAACAGTCTCCAAACACATCCCACATGAGCACAACACAGGAGAAGCAAATGCGATAAAAATTGTTTTCCTTTTCTCTGAGGCTTCTCAGCTTCTCAGCAGAAAAATCCAGGGCAAAAGGAGTTTTTCAGAGAATGTGAATGCCACAGCCTCTGGCAGGGAGTCCCAGCTGGGATGAGGATGAGGCACTCGTTGCACCCACCTCACCCTGGGCTGGTTCCTCCAGCTGTGCTGGAGCTCTGCAGAGCAGGATGTCACTGAGCTGTCCCCTCTCCTGCCCCAGACTACCCGTACTGCCTGGTGGGCAAGGAGCTCAGGGGCATCATCCGCTCCCTGCTGGCCAAGGCCTCCGACGTCCTGGAGCTCTTCTTTGACCACTGCATCTACACCATGCTGCAGGAGCTGGACAAGGCCCAAGGTGAGCTGCCCGTGCTCCCCAGTGCCTGCCCCTCCCTGCCTCTCTGGGGTTCCTCACAGAGCTCCCCCGTCTGCGTTCCAGGGGAGTCCCTGCACGGGTACAGGATCTGCATCCAGGCCCTGCTGCTGTACCGGCCCCGCATCGCCACCACCAACCTGGGCAAGGTGAGCTGGCCTGGGCTGGGTTTGCCTGNTGTCACTGCCGTGTCTGGGAGGATCCCCAAGGAAGCCTCTGATGGCTGAACCTCCTCCCTGTAGCACTGGTGGGGCCCTGGGAGTCGCTGGCGCAGTTCTGTGCCCTGGCTGGCTCTGCAGAACCTGTCTGTCTGTCCTGCCTGTCTGTGTCTGTCCTGCCTGTCCTGGTCGTGTCTGGGCACGGAGGGTTCCAGAACTGGCCGAGGCAGGCTGGGTTGGGGTGATGTGTCCCTGGGCTGGCAGGCATTGCTGGCTCAGCTCCTCCACATCCCCCTCGTGCCCTGGGACCTCCACTGCCCCCAAATGAGGGGGTTCCCTCTGCATGCCCCTGCCCTGGGTGGGGTTCTCTGCATGGTTCCAGTATCCCTGCACACCCAGTTTTGCCCACAGTGACAGGACTGTGTGGCATTCCCGTCCTTCCTGGGGAGGCAGGGCAGCCAGAGCTGTCCCTGTGCTCAGGGGTCAGCCACTGTCACCTCACTGAGGGGGGTTTGGGACAGATGTCATTCCCTGTGTGGCACCAGCTGGTTTGTGTGGAGTTCCTCTCACCAGGTGAGGTGCCCAGGGTCACCTGGCTCAGAGTGGCAGTGGTAATACAGTCCCATAGGTCTGAGCCTTGCAGCAAGCCCTGCTGGGGCTCAGGTGAGGTGCCCAGGGTACCTGGCTCAGTGAGGCAGTGGGAAACCAATCTCACAGCTCTGAGCCTTGCAGCAAGCCCTGCTGGAGCAGCCCCACGGAGCAGCAGGTGTCAAAGCAGGGATGGACATGCCTGGGTAGCAGTGCAGTACAGGTGGGAGCTGCTGCTGCCCAGTTTGGTGCTGAGGGCTGTTCTCCAGGTGGGCTTGGCTGCTCAGGGCAGGGATGGACATGCCTGGGTGGCAGTGCAGGAGGGGTGGGAGCTGCTGCTGCCCGGTTTGGTGCTGAGGGCTGTTCACCAGATGGGTTTGGCTGCTCAGGGCAGGGATGGACATGCCTGGGTGGCAGTGCAGTACAGGTGGGAGCTGCTGTTGCTGCCTGGTGTGGTGCTGAGGGCTGTTCATTGGGTGGGTTTGGCTGCTCAGGGCTGTGTCCTCCCTCGCTGGGGGCTCTGGGTGTGCAGAGTGGAGCAGCCCCGGCTGGGATCAGCCCAGGTCTGTGCTGGCCATGGTTTGGGTGATGGGCTCCCTGGGCAGGGCCAGCTGCCCCAGGCCATGCAGCTCCAGGGTGTTCCATGTGGGCTGGGATGGAGCTGGAAGCATTGCCCTCCATGCCCCTTGGGACCC